GGTATGAGTTCGATATTATATCCCAGAGCTCTGATTGGACGGCTCGTTATTCCCTGTTGCCTGTGCCTATTGCCTGTGTCTATTGTGTTTTTTCAGCTTTACAATCTGAAATACGTTTCACTTGCGACCTGCGACCTGCGTCCTGCGTCTTTTTATTAAGCTGGTTCTACATTGGACGCAAACAACAAATCGCATGGACGCAAGCAATAAAAGTCGCAAGATTGTTGCGACTGACCTTCTACATTGCAATCATAAGCGCTGCGCGCGAATCCAGAAGAAAATCGTCCTATTCGGAAATGGATCGACGTAATAAGACATTTTTGCTGCTTTGTGGTGGATTTTTGTGCTATGTGAAGTTGTATTTAATAAAGAAAAGAACACAAAGAAGAAGGTGGTGGGTTCGCCCTATAAATAATATCGAAAGGCACCATAATGTGGGTTTTTACATGAATTTATAGAGAAACGAAACGAACTGATCATGAACAATTTTTCACGTGTACTCGTTTGTGGCCACATATGATGATATTTTAAGTCGAATTCGTCCATGTCTGATAAAAAGTGGTCCACGGCATGATAAAAAGACAAGGGTATGCTCATGCGCATGACCAATCAGATTTTTGTCCTTGCTTACGTCACAACGAGTGGCTTACGCCACTGTTCAGCAATTTCAGATTGTTTTGGAAAGATAAAATATTTAATTTTACTTCCCTCAGTTTTTTTTGTTTTTTTCATATAATTGCCGCATCCTTTCACTATGCAGGTCATCGTGAAAATATTTTTAACATTAACTTCTACCGATGACAACGTGCACTACGCCATGGACGCCATGATAAATTACGACCGATAACCACCGATTGCACCCGAATCAGAACCGACCAATCAACGCGTACCCGAATATGACGTAGGCAAGGACATGCGCAAGCTGAACGAGTTTTAGACAATTGATGAGCATACCCTTGTATTTTTATCATGGTCCACGGCGTCCACGCTGGGGTGATCCCGATTGACCACGGCTCGATTGGACACCACCAATCACAGCGACCGGTGCTTAGGAGCTTTGTAGTCTCAAGTGCTGTGAGTGGCTCGTGTCCAATTGAGCCGTGTCCAACTGGGTGCCACCCGTCCACACTCTGTAGAACTGAGGTTGGCTGTGACTTTATCGTGAGTATAGATATAGGTTATGATAAGTTTTATCATCACTATGTTTATTGATAATTACTTATTTAAATTTCTTCCACATTGTGTGTAGGTTTCTTGCACATAGTGATAGTATTAATTCAAAAGCTTGGGAGTTTCGTATTGGACGCTCCACTGTGTATATTATTGTTCACGAAGTCTGTCGTGCATTGTGGCTTGGACTTCAACCAACATTTCTTCCTGAACCTGACAAACAGAGATGGTCTAAAGTTGCTGAAGGTTTCTTCGAGAAATGGCAATTTCCGAATTGTTTGGGAGCTCTAGATGGAAAGCACATCAGAATCCAAACTCCATCCAATTCAGGAAGCCAATTTTGGAATTACAAAAAATATTTCAGCATCGTTCTTCTAGCAATGTGTGATGCATATCATAAATTTGTATGGGTGGACATTGGGCAGTACGGTAAGCAAACATTTCTTGTACTACAAATTTTATCAGGGAATGGAAAGTTACTTTTTAAAAGTAACAAGTTACAGTTACTCGTTACCGAGTAGGAAAAATAACAAGTTACCGTTACTAGTTACCGATTTTTAAAAGTAACTCGTTACAGTTACCGTTACTTGAGAAAGTAACTTTTCGTTACTTTTCCGTTACTTTTTTTTAAATCGACGACCAACAATCATAGCGGACGAGCCTAGAGGCTTCTCTAATCTCAAGCGCAGGTAAATTCTAAGAAAAAATTCTCTCCGTGTATGCTGGATAATTTTGAGATCCACTATAATAGTTGTAAACGTCCACACATTTGTAAATTTGCAATATGCAAATAAAAATAATTTCTTGGTTTGGAACTAAGCAGATTGTGGAAGTACAATTACAATGTGTATGTGTAGCTACAAGAACGATAATATGACAATATATTTCGCACTATATATTATTATACATTTAATAACAATACGCGAAAAATTTCTTTTATGTTACGTAATATTACTAAAATTTGGATAATTACAGAAAATATTCAAAATATTCTGCTATTTACACAATTTCCAATATAAAATAAAATATATTTACACAATAAAAACAAATTTACATAATTTTTGTGGAATTACTGTAATTTCTGTAAAATTGCATGATTTTTTATATTTACAGAACTAATCATGTAATCTATTTTATATTTATTATATGTGTAAATTTACGAAATTTTTTACAGTGTAAGTGGCTTTTGTCGTATTGTGTCCAATCATGTGCAAAGTAACGATAAACGTAACTGTAAAATTCGTTACCGTTACCAAAAAAATGTAACTTCGTTACCGTTACAGTTACCAAAGAAAAAAAGTAACGCAGTTACTAGTAAAGTTACCAAAAAAGTAACTTGTAACTGTAACTTCGTTACAAGTAACGAGTTACTTCCATTCCTTGAATTTTATTACAGATCTGCTTTTATTCCTATAATAGACTGCACTAGAAGTTTCTTGGTTTTGTAATATTAAACATGCATCTATTTCACTTTAAGTTCTAAAAGTATACGCTGATTTAGTTATAAAAAATCGATTTTTAGCTACAATGTTTTAGAAAAACCAATCACATTCCGTTTTTGCATTATCCTTTGTAAGAGGTATCAGTGACAGTGGTATATGGAGTAACATAGAATTAGCAGCCAGAGTATGAGAAAAAACTGTTGAAATTCCAGGTCCCTGTAATCTTCCACGGACAGCAATAAAGACTAACCATGTATTCATAGGTGATGAAATATTCCCTCTTGATCTGCATTTAATGAAACCATACAGTAAGAAAGAACTGACTGACAATCAAAGGATTTTTAATTATAGGCTGTCTAGAGCTCCCCTGTCTATAGAAAATACATTTGGTATTTTGTGTGCACGCTGGCAAATTCTTATAGCGTTTTCGGCCCGATCGGGTTTGCACCAACCTGGGTTGGATTAATCTTTCCTGTTGGTTGATGTCACACGCTCTACCAATAGGAGAGCGCAAAACGCCATTAATCCAATCCAGGTTGGTGCAAACCCGGTCGGGCCGAAAACGCTATTAATAAGATGATGAAATTTTCTTTGAGTAATGTAGAGGAAATAATAAAAGCCTTGGTCTGTTTACATAATTATATTATGACCATGGAGGAAAGATTGGAACCATCTGAGCGACGTTATTGTGCACAAAATTTAATCGACAGGGAGAATGCAGATCATGAGATAATGGAAGGAGTATGGCATGGTATGACAGGAGCAGGAACGTTATTTGAAAATATTCGGAAAATGGGACGCAATTCGGGTACAAATGCTGCTAAAGCACAAAGGGACGTTTTATGTGAATACTTTGTAACAGATGTTGGATTCAGCATGTCCCCTGGCAACATGAATATGTTTTTAAAAGTGCCAACGTTAATTCGAAGTAAATTGCAATTTGAATATTATGGTCAAAATCTTTATTTTAAGTTGTGTATTAATTAATATGTTTTACTTTTACACATTTATGTAGAATAAGGGGCTGCGTAGAATAAAAGAAACAGAAAACAGAAAATAAGAATTTGTATTCCACAGTACGTGGTTTCTCATAGGCTGAAATTCTTCTCTGTTTTCTGTTAATTGTTTCTTTTATTCTGCGCAGTTCCTAATAAGAAAAATGCTTTATGCAATAATCCAGTGTATTATTTCCAAAATAAAACTTTACATTATACATTGTAACAAAGTAATATAAATGTATTAAACATAAAACATAACTGATTGGACATAAGTCGATTAGCAAACGATATCTACCCTAAACTTTATGCAAACTTATATTCATATAAAGTAAAAACTTCACGCATATAAACTTAACTTAGTATATGTACGTATGTGTATGTAACCTTACCCTGTATAAACGCAACAAAAGCAAATAAATATCTATTTATGATGTATAAAACTTGAAACAACGGGTACATTCATTTATAAACTCAATACTTTGTAAATTATATGTTAATTTACATGTTATATAAATTTTGTATATAAATTATAAAACTATACATATACTGATACACTTTAACACTTATGCAATGAACAGGGTGGCACCCAGTTGGACACGGCTCAATTGGACACGAGCACTCACAGTGCTTGAGATTACAAAGCTCCTAGGCATCGGTCGCTGTAATTGGTGGTGTCCAATCGAGCCGTGATCAATCGGGATCACCCCCAATGAACATACATCTGGAATATTATGAGATCACAATTAAGAAAATACTGAAATAACAATGACATTGAGGCGTCACATAAAGGTCAATAATGAATTAAAACTTAACTCTTATTCTCGAAATTCTTTAGAATATTCAAAATCTCAATAAGGCACTGTATTCTCTGTTGCATACAGATTCGCTGTAGTAATCCACATGAAGCTTTCCACCTCCGATATCGGCTGCTTCTTTCTCTTCTTGACGCTGAGCACTTTGAATAGATGGTTAAGTAACCATTTGCTCATTGTAACTAATGCTCTCGCTAGTTTATCCAAATTATTCATGTCGACATCATTTTTAACTTTCTTCTTGTTAAAGAAACTATCTGGAGATGGTGTCCGAGGGATTTGCTTCTTTGTTAAACGTTTGTAAGTGGCTCTGGAACAATTAGCTTTCGATTCAATGTCGCTCTCTGAAATACAATATTCCATAAACGTTAATGTTAGCAAATAACTTAATATACATGAATGTATGCAGCTATTCAATACCTATAATGTTGCAATGTGGGACTTTGTCTAATTTTTGCAAATTACGTTCTTCAGAATCATAAATCTCGTTGACGTCACTGGGTGTATTGTTCTGCAACCATCGACATCTAGAATGGACCGCTGATGGCAATGGTGGGGGTAGAAAGACGATTAGAGTGAGAGGCAGGAGATTAACAACAACCAATCAGGCTTCAGTAAACAGAGAAAGAACGATCTTATTATTCCTGCCTCTCACTCTAATCGTCTTTCTACCCCCACCATTGCCATCAGCGGTCCATTCTAGATGTCGATGGTTGCAACTGAACACTATAGGTGGAACTGAAATGCCCTTGTGATATTGCACTATTAGCATGTATGGAACTTGAGTAGGAATGTTTTTCTGACATTGGATTGTTAATATGTTCAGAACTTAAGCAGGAGTGCATTTCTGACTTTGACCTGTTGGTACAAGCAGAACTTGAACTGGAATACACTTGCGACTTTGGACTATTGGTATGTGCAGAACTCGAGCTGAATTGTGATTGTTGTGACGAACGTTTGTTAGATCCAAGGACAGCTATATTATGGTTGTTGTTTTGATCTGTTTGTGGCTTCAATACTGACTTAGCAAATGTATTTGACTTTGTACTGAAAATGACAAGAATTGTAATGATTCAATTATTAAAAATAATTTCTAAATTAATGTAACTTGAGTATATTTACTGGCGTGGTTTTATGACGTCAATCAGAAAGAGCAGCTCCTCATAGAGCGGCCAATTTGGCTGATAAATGGGCCAGTTTGACTCAGCACCAGATCTAGGTTGAGATTCCCTTACTTTTTTATAGTAGCGACCAATGTAGTTCGCAGTGTGCGAAACCTTTTTGCTGCATCAGTCCCTAAACAATTAAAAGTTTATTTCAGCATCAAAATTAACAACTTAAAGTTAGATCATTTATATATTAAAACTGTATTCCAAATTTACTGCCAGTACTGGAAAAACTGGATTTTCAGTACTAGCAGTCAATTTTGGAACACGGTTTAAGTTTTCATTCTTACCTATCATTTCAATTGGCAAAGGTGATGCTACAGACTCCCAGCCCATATCTCTTTCTAAAATATTACTGTACTCCTTAGAACTCTTGTCCCAGAGCCCTGGATTAACTTTTACAAGCCTTATTAGCTCTACATCTACATCATCTTCATTAACGCTCTCGTCCAGAAAATATTCATTTTCTAAATCACTCATTATTATGAAAATAAAATTTTCTAACCTTAATCTTCTAAAATCTCCCCTTGTGGTTTTCTTAACCTTAATCTATCAATAACTATACGATACACGAAAACGCGCAAGCAAGTAGAGGGGAGCTCGATACTATTGGCTGTCGCAAAATCGTAGAGACGTAAGTTTTGTTTTGGCCAAACTCTGCGATTGCTGCTTGCGACACGTTGCGACCGGAAGTAGCACTGCTTGCGTTCATGCGATTTGCTGCTTGCGTCCAATGTAGAACCAGCTTTATGGAGAATGGCCTTAAGTCCACAAACACAATAGATTTATGCCCGTATTCATAGTCAGGACTTATATTTAAGGGTGCTGTCACATGCGGCGTAACTTGCGTAAGCGTAACTTGCGCCGACCAATCATATCATTTCACTTGACATCAATTTCTGTCTAGTCACTTTATGCTTTTTACGCTATTTTGTTGTTATGCCGAAACATGATAGAACCACTATGCGTCGAATCTAATTTCTGGCTCATTTTAGATTATTCTGTCTGAAAAAATGCACAAGGGTTTCGATTTTGCAACAGTACAATTATAAAAGTCGTGCGACCCTTTACATCGCGTGAAAAGTCGAAACCCATGTGGAACAGTACAATTATAGACCTCATTTTGCCTCTGTGACAGATTTCCTAACCTCAATAGTCATCGACTTTAACGCTTAATATTTCAGATCACAAGGCAGAACGACGTTTTTTTACCAGATTCTTTCGTTTCCTGCAAAAACGCGTCGAATAAGCCTAAGAGTGGTTTCACAAAATTTTCCGATTTTAATAATTTATTCGATCATACGCTCATATATACGCGATGGAAAGGTACCGGTTCCCCATGAGGCGTACTTTTCGAGATGCGTAAGTTACGAAAACCAATCGTAAATTCATTTAGCATTTCTGTTAGAGTGTGCAACAGAAATTCTAATCAGCAATTGATTGCATTAGTTCCGCATTTCTCTAATCTTCCGCGAAATACGCTCAATGTGAATGCGGGCTTTCAGAATGGTGTATTCTAGTAAATAAAAAATAACGTATTCTAGTAACTTACTAGAATACGCAGGTTACACTTACGCAGGTTACGCCGCATGTGACGGCACCCTTAGGGTGATGTCCCATGCAGCGGATCGTGCGTAAGCGGATTCGCGTATCGCCAATCACAGAATCATTCTCTTAGATCTGTTTGCAAATTTTGCAAGCATATCTAATAGCGTTTTCGATTGGGGTGCACTGGCTGTACTCAGTGTCAAGAGCGTATTCGATTGGCAGTGCCAATGCGCACTTGGCTAGTGTCACGTGTTCATTTGATCGCACGACACTCGCGTAGTGCGCACTCAGTGCGCACTAAGTGGCACGAGATATTTTGACGGTGCCAGTTCAGTGCACGTTTTATCACAGTTAAGGATATACATAGGGACAAGCAAATCTGCGCAGTTGAATTGAAAACGGGGTCTTGTCCCTACTCTTAATATCTTTTACTGTGGTTTTGTAACATTTTGTTGAACATTGCTTCAAAGTGAACGAAAATGAGTTTCAGCTTTAGCACTGAAAATCTTGGCGTATTCTTTTGAACTTGCACTATTCAGTGCAACCCATGGAACTCGTCCAGTATTGGTGTGAACTGAGTGCGCACTGGTGCGCACTAACTTTTGCCCAATCGAAAACGCTATAAGAGAATGATTCTGTGATTGGCGATACGCGAATCCGCTTACGCACGGTCCGCTGCATGGGACATCACCCTTAAGGCTTCCTTAAATTTATCTTCAGATACTCTACGAATTATTTCATTGGCTACTGAGCATCTAAAGATAAATTTAAGGAAGCCTCAAGTACAAGATCTGACTATGAATACGGGTATTAGTAAACCTTATGCCTTAAGAAATTGATCAATCGCAGTCAAAGGTGAGAAGAATAATCGACAATGATTGGTCAATTTCTACGTCTTCTATTGTAGACCCCGCTTAACAAAAGTTGGGTTAGAAACTGTGAGCGAAGAACTCAGTTCTATTTTCTGCAGAGCGAATAAATTGCAATAATGCTTTATGAATCGCATCGGGTTTAATTGATTTGGTTGAGAAATGTAGTCACTTTTATATGATAAAAGCCGTCCTGACTATAAAGATCGTGTTGAAAACACGGAATTCATAGCAGTCATTCGGATAAACTTAAAAAATTGCTTGTGGTCATTATTTTTAAGGAATTGAAAGAGATTATAAAAATGACCTTTTGTTTACGCTCCAATAGCATTGGCCGAACCCAATATTTTCTTTTTCGAATCGTTTTCCTTTTTTTCCGCAATAATTGCAGCATTATTGTAACCAAATTATAAGCCAAAAGAGCTAAATTTCTAATTCAACATCCATTATATAAAATTGAACTTTCGATTTAATTGTTAAAACACAAATGGTCGCAGCACAGACTTTTGCATAAGTCCGGATCTGCAATAGGTGTTTTAAGCCTTAAACCATAAGAAATTGACCAATTACAGTCGAATCCGAGAAGAATAAGCGATTGTGATTCGCCCATTTCTTATGGCTT